GCTGTGAGCAACTTAAACTTAATAGTTCAATAAAAAAAAATAACAAATTTCAACCCAGAGTGCTTTCATGGCTTCCCGTTTACCTTGACACATGTAACTTCTAACCAACGAAATGCGCTTACTGCGTAAATTTAGATAAGGAAATAATTACTGATGGGCCCTACGAATCATTTGATTTCGTTTAACCAGGCGTGTTTATACAATGCTATTACAGGATATATATATATATATATCCTGTTATAGCATCCGCGCCAATCGTCGATCAGCGCATACGCCACGTCGCATCACGCAGAAAAGCATGTTCGATGCAGTTCCCTTTGAAATAATTCGCGTTTCTTCATTTAAATACATAAACGCACAGAATTATTAAGGGTCCTTCTTCCTCCAGTTACGTCTGCTTTTTTCGACCGTCTTCGTCTTCTTCGGTTTTTTCTTTTTTCGTTTTCATTTGGGAAATTATGCTGGTTACATCATCGGTACTGCCTTTGGCGCTGCCTATGTCATCAACTAAATGCCGTCGTTAGTCAGCTGCAGTCAAACAGACTTAAGTTTACCCAATTCGCTATAGTATAAAACACGCGTCGCCATCGCATGCACCGAGTTACACGGATACAGACTGGTTCATGCTTATATGCACACAGCTGCGTCGGACTCTCGCCAAAAAGATTTGATGACTTTTAAATAGAAGAGGGAATACATGGACAAGCAATCAAGAGAAACCTACGCATTTGCTTGGACGGTTTTCTTCAGTATCATCAATATCATCAAATCGCTTTATCACGGGTTCGGTCGATATATACTTTTCGATAAATCAAATAGTTCTTCTTCCACGTGAATATATATATATATATATATATATATATATATATTCCCCCATCGAGTATTACCATGATTAGCAGTTTCTGGATATAACGTATATCTTCATTAAGATCTACTACGATGATCAGACAGTTTTTTTAGAATGAAATCGAACAACTAGTGATACGGCGATAAACTGATTACGTAGATCCGTATATAGACTTTGTTTGATATACAATTGATTTTGATTATGTCACAAATTTGCAAGTGCTTTGGGTGTTCATGTTGCGAGTCCCTTGAAGTACTGGGATATCTATACGGTGTCTACTATTTAGAAATTGATATCTTAGGATTTCTCTGCTAAGCATTAATTTCTAGACTGCAACAAATGCTAGGCCGCATCTGATTAAATAACATTGGGTTTCATATTCATCGCCAATTCGCTATAGAAACCAACATCAGAAATTTGCATCGAACTAAGAAGAACGGCTATGAACAGAACTAGGTAAACAAAGCTTCAACAACAGCAAAATAAAAAGTATTGTTCTCGCAAATACTTCATTTCCTTTGTCAAATTTTAGCGGGCTGCTTGTTATTCATATGCCATTTTTAAGACCAAAAGGAAGCCAACTCTGTCTAGAACAGAAGCACAAATTCGTCATCGCAAAAATTGAATATTTGTGTTTGCTGTTCAAGTTTGCCCCAGACGAATCTGCCTTAAGCTAAAAATTACCTTGGCTGCCCAAAATTGGGAGTCTACGTTGTTGCCTCTATTCATATGTGGTCCGAGGGCTCTGAAAAGACTTCCGTAAGACAAGATTCAGGGATTACAATGAAAGGGCTCATTAAACTCGCCCAAATATCATTTCTAATGATCCCAGAATTTCAGTGTTAAAATTAGCGGCCATTTTTGAGAGGAGAGAGTTTATCGATAACCAGATCGTTTATATACGTCCCAACAGTTAGCCTGTTTTAGACTCTTTACGTCTTTCTTAACTCTTCTGTAACAGATTTTCCGTGTAACTGCAAATTGTTTTACATTTGGCCTATTTGAGTGAGACTTTAGCGAATTTACATACTATTGTCGCGATAACAACGAAAACTTTTTCGCCTAATTGAAAACGGAAACTTTTAAAAAGGCCCACAAGGTTTTATTAAAACGAAGCTATTGAACACATGCGGCAGTGGCAAATGTCCCTGTCTATGTATATCCAGAAAGTTTCATTGAAGCTTCTGTTTTCATATAACTGTTTCTATTTAGGTGCTGCTTACAAATAAACAACACATATATCCCAACTGAGATATATATATATATATGTCTTTCGATACAATTCTTGCACGCTGCTCAATCGCGAAAAGGCGCTGTACCTTGTATCGACGGTCTGGTAGGCTAGACTATACGCGTTCAGTGTTTTTGGTGACAAGCTATGACCGAACGTTCATTCTGAGTGCGTTTATTCACAGGATGTATTTTATTCAGCAAATAAACGCGACAATCAGTTCTCCGCAGGTCTAAGACTGACCAACCTTAACACGGCTCACTTTACAGGATGTTTACAGAACAGTGTGCGCCCACTCTCTGTTGGGTCACTGTGAGCTCTCTATCAGACTCTTGTGTGATCTGTTATGATCAACTTTTCGATTCCGTGTTATCATCAGGCTCGGAAGCTGAGCCCATATTAACAATCGATACGAAGGAGTGGTGTCTCATTCGTCACTCATGTACCTAGCTTTGTTGCGTTTCCTCTTAAACCTAATATAACAGCCACTGCTTGATGTTGTCTGACGATTAATGGCTGCTCATTTCTAGTCGTCTGCTCCTGCCCCAGGGGCAGTCTTGATACTGTTGGCGACGATGCCGACTGACATTGAACTAAAATCGACGGCCAAAGTCTCGAAGAAGAAAGTTCTTGACACCTGTATAAATCATTACTGAAATAATCGATAATTTGCAACGGATCGCGCGAGACGTCAGCCGAGCAGCGCACGGTGTTAGGAAGAAACATGATGAGTTCTACATGAACGCTTGTTTCATGTTTGGACAATACAACCACAGCGATAGCGTTCGTAGCATGGTACGAAACAATTGCCGACACGCTTATCCTCGCCCTCTTTAAATTTTTCTACCTTTTTTGTCTAGGTATTTTCAAGAATAAGAATATATTTGGATGTAGTTACCCAATGGTAAATGAACGGTTGCCCCACCTACTCTTTATTCTTGCCACGATGATGGTAGACCACTGAAGTTCGAAGATTCACACATAAATATATTTATGCATTGAACTGACAGTTTTACAAAATTTGCTCAAGCGGCTAGTCTGGCCTAAAACGCTGCAGGGCCGATCAGCTAGTCGGCCTGTGTCGGAACCAAAGATAATCGATACGTCCATCGACGAAATGACTGCTGTATTTGAACAGCTGAGCTTTGCATAAAAACCAAAACGATGCCAGAAGAGTCTAGAATTAACTTGAGTATCGCTTTAAAACGAAGATCAGATAGCATTAACCACTTCGCTGTTAAAACACCATTGGCCGAACCACATGCGCTAAAGCTGTCAAGCTGGAGGCCTTACAAACGGACAAGAAGTCCCTATTTAAACCGCTTTATTCAGTTTATAGAACGAGCGAACTGCTTTACTGGGAAAATTGCAACATCAGCAGAGGCAACAGCTACCACTACCGCTGAAAAGCTAGCTACACGAGATAGAGAAAAAAGAACAATGGCCGATCGCGAACGTTCGCTGAAGGGAAGATAGCGGCTACCGCGAGATGTGACCATTGCCAGCAGACGCGGACAGAGGGTCAGTGAGATAGACAGGTTCCTTGATTCGGAAAAAAACACACATCAACAAACACATTAGTTTCATATATATACAGGGGCGAAAATTTCAGATAAATGTTGTTTATTGTATAAATATGCAATCTACAAATAGATTATACAGATGTTAGATGAAGGCCAATGTCAAGTGACTTTTGCCCTATCCTGTATATATATATATACTATAGTAGTCAGGCACTCCTTGCCATGTCTTCGATTTCACGTCTTGTCAGTTGACGTCGCCAGAACAGCCACCGTCATTTCCAGCGATATCTGAACGTATATTTTTCCGTTCTGGCAAACAGAATCGCTGTTTTTTTTATGCGGCTGCACTTAAGTGTCGTTTCAGTCCTTTGGTGTCAATGTCTTTCAACATCACTGGACTGCAGCAGTGGGATCGCGGCTGTTCCAAGCGCAGTGCAGAGATTCTAAAGATAGTTGTTCTAAATGCGATATACCTCCACAACAACAATTGAAGTTACAACTTAATTTGGCACTGCGAGCATGTCGTTTATGGACTTGACTTATGGGCTATCAAATTAACTTCTGGTGTATACTGTAGACTTGACGACATCAAAGGATTTACGCTGTTTACAAGCTGAATATGCAACTAAGCAAATGTTCATATCTACAATAATTATTTTTATAAAGAAATGTGAATGTTGCGAACATCATATGTTTGTCTACATTGAAAACAGAATCGTTTACCATTTGCTGATATATGGATAGCATAACTGTTACTTATTAGACAATTAGAAAAGAATCTTCTTTTGAAAGAAACACCATGAAACCATACAAAGCATCAACTCAAAGTTAGTTTACCAAAGAGCTAACTAAAGTGGAAGACAAATTAATAAAATAGCGAAACTAAATGATAATATATTATCATACATTAAAAGCTGGCTAATATTAAATAAAGCGCCAGAATAAAAAAAGCGCCAGCGCCCAATATTAGTGTTTAAATAGTCTTCTTGTCGCTTAAAACAAACTTGGTGATCAAAAACTGCCCATAATGAGAGTATCATAAAAAAAACTGCAATTCAACAAAATGACGAAAAATGCAATAACACAACATACTGACACAGCGAATATTCCACGAAACCAATCAGAAACTTTAAAGTGAAGTCAGACATTCTTGCTACACGGCATTGGTTCTTGCGTTTCCAGACCCAGAACATGTTCCGTTCCCCTTTGTATCCCTATATCCAGTAATAGTACCAACATTTACGATGGGAGAGGGTAATAGCAGCCGGTTTGAGGAAGAGAGAGCAGTTTCAAATTTTGCCGCGTTTCGTAACTACGTCAGGGTATGCGGGCCTGCATTTAACTTCTCGCGCGTCGGAGTTTACCTTGTTTTGCTTTGGTCAGTACCGTGCGAGCACGTTGTTGCGATGTCGTTGTTGTGTACCAGGGGAAGTCGGTGAGCAGATGTGGTAACTAGTGCTTGCGGAAATTATATCTAAATGCCCAATTGAAATTGTTAACAATCCTGTGCATTTATGTGCGCTAAGTAGGGTCTAGGTTAAAATGAGTCGATCTAAGTCGTTAAAGCGGTATGTCTATAAGGACCAAACCTGTGTCTTAAACTAATAATGGCTGTTGCCGCGTTAACTGTGGCAGAAACAGGTGATGAAAAGGTAAAAAGACAATCCCGAAAGAAGTTCCGTTGTAGGCCTACAAAAATCGCCGGCGTCGGAAAGCCAACTCGTATTTGCCGTGAACATTCTACTACAGAGGGCAGTGAAGAACTTGCATCACCAATGGATAGAAGTAAATTAAAGCCGTTCTCAGGCTCTGGTCCTATTTGGACTATAGCGACGATGAAAGAACGGAGCAGTATAATTGAACCTCAAGAGACCGTAGAATTCGAAAGTGATTCTGGCAGTAAGAGGGAAAAACATAAAGATGCCGACGAAGATTGTGACGGTGACGGCGGTAATACTGAACAACACCAGGAAAATAGTGAGAATAATGGTGTGGATGAAGATTTTATTGAAGATCCTACCAGTGCGGGTGAAAGCGTCCGGACGACATCACAGGACGTCCAGTCCTCGATGTTCGACCAAGTCGAGCCTATCTATCAAAACACTAAGAAGAAACACACCCCAGGCATAATTTACCTGAGCTATATTCCCGAGGGACTAACAGTCGCTAAAGCTCGTGAGATCCTGTCCGTGTTTGGTAATGTGGGGCGCATTTATTTCGAGCCGATTAAAAGACTGGACAGGAAGACTCGTCCAAACCATCGTTTTGCCGAGGGCTGGGTGGAGTTCGAGAAAAAGCGCATCGCAAAAATGGTAGCGGAGTCGCTTAACGCTAAGCCGGTGGGGGGCAAACGACGTGCTCCGTACCACGATGCCCTGTGGTCGATGAAGTACCTACATCGTTTCCGCTGGCCACACCTTTCGGAGCGACTGGCCTACGAAAAGGCGGTAAAAGATCAACGTCTGCGTACCGAGATAGCCCACGCTAAGCGCGAGGCTAGTTACTATGCAAGAGCGCTTGAAAGGTCGATTCGACTACGGAAGAAGCGGAAAAAGGAGATTAACCAAACGGCTAACTCTGGTAATGACGGTTCTTTGCTTGATGCCTACGCTAATGTGCGACTGAAGAAAACTGAGCGAGAGATCCGTCAAGCAAAGAACCAGAGCTTACAAGTTGATAAGAAACTTCTAATGAGTATATTTTCCAAGTAGTCCAAAAACAGAAGGATAACCGTTTGTAAAGAGAAGCAGGGTGTTGCTATTCTCTTCAATTCTTTGTGCGGAAAATGCGCGTTCTTGTGGTGCAGAGTAGCAGCTTCGGGCCATAAGTACCTTCGTGATGTTGAATTCGCTGATTCAGAAGAGAAAATGGAGCGCTATAGACAATTATACGTGTATATATGAAAACAGTATATGAAAAATAATTATCGTTATATATATTCCCGTTAATAACTAATAATAAACTGGCCTAAACACTTTCAACAAATTCAGCAGTAAAATGTGGTGGTACATAGACATAAGTAAAAAAATAAAGTGCACTGTAAATAACTGTTCGTTCTTAATGGGGCACTCGATTAAATATTCTGTTCGAACAGAATTGAAAAAATATTTTTCGTGTCTTATGTCCAATACTTATGCCATTAGGTGTTACTTTAAAAGACTGGCCCTGCCAGCATGAGATACCTAAATTAATTGCAAATAATGAATTATAATAGCTTGCTGAGCTCAAACCTGGATTACGGCGTGTTTAAATTTAACAGGCAAAAACGTTACCCAGTGCATTATCACAGGAACAGTTTAAATGAACTTGGTGTAATCTTTTTCCGAGAGCTTAATAGACAAAAAGCTCGAAGATAACAGCGTCCGGGCAACATCGCATTGTGCAAGAGTATTCGTCAGAACTCGACCTTGTTTTGCAAATACCATAGAAGCTATTGATCCATAGCATTTCCTATAAATATGGAAAATACAAAAGTAGGTATTATGTATTGCTGCTGAAAAACAAACTAGGGTGGTGTTGCTACATACCTCTTTGCGTTTGTGACCAGGTGCCGTATTCTGGATGAATTGAGCCGCCTGGAAAATATAAAGAATGAGCGAGTGTGAGAAACGATGCTGGTGTTTATAAAGTAAATCATAGTAGGTTCGTGAATAAAACCGGTACGCTTTCTCATCTCTACACACTGCCTAGAAGCGACACAAGTATCTTATGGTTATCTAGCAACAAATATATCTGAATAAACCGACCAGCTGTCTGGGTAGCTCCATTTATGTTTTAAAGAAAAAATGTGTAGTGAATATCGTAACTATGACAGACTGGCTCTGTTTAGTTGCGCATGCGCAACTCGTAGTGCGCTTGTTAATAAACTGAAGCGCCGATAAACGAAACGATTAACTTAACTCAGTTTAAAACTTTAAGGTAGGTAACAACAAATAGGTAAAACTATCGCACTCATATCTAAAATACCCATTATTCCGTGATGGCTTTCAACAAATACAAGGCCTAAATAAAAAGGAATGTGAGACAATTTGTTTAAACAAACAACACTGTTACGTAACTTATATTTCTGGACGCTTATTCACGTCATGGGTCGTTTTTGCCCTCAATCTTGTACCTGAAAAATTTCGCTATAAATCAACGTTTTCTTATGGGCAACATATTTATGGACATCTATTGCCCCAAAAGTCCCTAGTGAGGCCCAAGTAAGAGCCTTGATAGAGCCTTTGAGCTTAGAGCTAGCCCCAATCTAGCTCTCTCTAAGCTGACCGCCAGTGTTGCTGAAAGTTCTTTCGTCAGCAAAGAGCAACTACTTACGATACTTTTGAGGGCTCAGTGCATTTGATGTACTTTTTAAAATCTCTTTAAAAGCGTCTTCCCACATAAATTCCCCATCCAGCGTATACTGCAACTTTGTTTAGTTCTTTACTAAACATTCTGTTTGAATAGAATGCCTGGACCATATACCGACAATGCGGTTATGAGGATACAGTCGATTGAACTGAGGCACTCCGATACGATGGCACACGCGTGAGCAGGAATAGTTACGTTAACACTTTTTTTTATTGGGTACGTCGATTTCCTGCTGCATTTCTCAAGTGATTTTGCCCATTGAAGGGCGAAAGTGCCAGTACACTGGCTGTAATAGATCTTTCTGCAAGGCGTTGTCGTAAAATGTCGACGTCGAGGAATGAAGATATTCGATCCATACAAGTTTTTCCGAGAAAGATCGCCGTTCCTTTCGTATGTAGAATTTATTGCCGCAAAAAAACTCGGAAGAGTTTACCCTCGAGATGAGCTGCCACACCGAAACAAGCTATTCCTATAAACGTGTCTCGTATGTCGAATTGTAGATAAAAACAAACTTGTTTCACCATGCGATATCCGACAACATTTTATTTACTATCGTTTAGGACCTTACGAAGATTACTCAAATTATAACGGGACTTAAAACACGTGAACTAAGCTGGTCTTTACTTGTCGGCTATCAACATAACTTTTATTGAATCACTTGTTTTCAAACCATGTCTCCGTTGATGGTAATAATGGTGGCGTTCTGTCTACATGAATTTTTTGCAATTTCGGTGTATGCACGACACTTCATACACTACGCAAAAAGACTTCGTGTATCAAGTTACTAATTCTTTCCATCTTTAGAATAGTGTATAAACGCATTGCCACGGCTTTGTAACGATCTCCCGTTTACCTGCAACAGGTTACCTCTTCGCCTGGTGGCCAACGTCTCGCGTGCTTTACCGATCGATCAGCTTTCTTGATCGGTAGGCGGCTACCGACGCCATATCTAACGCTTTTCCAACAAAACCCGAGAGCAAGACGCGTCAGGCATTCCTAATGCGTCGACATCTCCGTACACTTTAGCTGCAGTAAACTCGTCACTAAATCAACCTGTAAGCGCTTCCACTAATCGTCTTTCTTTGTCCTGTCGCTACGAAACTATACGACAGTTCAGGAAAACACGCGTTAACCTAGCGCTGCTTAGAAATGATGACGAAAAAAGTTGATTGAGGAAACGATGCAACGCAATGCACGAATAGCATCCTTGCTAATAAAGGATACGTGTAACTCCACATAGCATTTTCCCAGGTTGACATTCACCAAGAAAATAGCGAGACGTCTCGGAATGCAGTTAGTGCGGAAAGGTTCAAGCTGACATAGAAATGAGGCAGATCAATGTGACAAAAAAATAAAGACCATAATTATGAACAGGTGCATGCTTAATGTTATCGACAGGTCTCAGATGATATTAGGAATAGCAAAGCAGGTACTTAGTGATTGTGATTGATAAAATAAGCCAAGGATATCGTTCGATTTATGGACAAACGGATATCAAGGAGAGGGGGATTGAGAGACCAAGTATGCTAAGAAAAAGTCAGTAAGGTGCTAAAAATTATAATCTCAGAGGAAAGTAATCAAGATAGATCTATGTATGCGAAAAGCACAGGTAAGTTAACGGAGAGAGATGAACACATGAAAGGTAACGTAGTTTGCTTGGCAGACGATACTCGATGTGCAGCAGTAATGGCTCTCTATCAGTGAAAACCGGCGAACTCAAACCAACATTACCATGTCGAGCCAAACATCATAAACAATTCATACTTTCTATGATTACTTCTGGTCTGCTATGCTGCTTTTCACTCACACGAGGTATACCGAGTCTGAATTTAGAGCATGGCCTCACGTTTGCTAATAAAGAGGTCACTTTGCAGAATCTATTATCAAATAACTCAATCGACCTTGATGCGGAGACTGTATACGTAAATTCGTGCCCATCGACATTGTCGCCTTTACCTAGCCACTGACCGTTCTGTACACGGCACTAACGCGGACGCACAGACCAGGAAGGCCATCATGACCGGCTGCTGAAGAAAATTCGTTAGAAAGAGCAAAAAAAGTGCAAAAAATATGCACATTGTGCTCGTAGTCGTGTAGGACTGCTGTAGTCGGAGCGGCCCCAACTCCCGAAACGGTAGCACCCGAAAGATTTCTTCTCTACGACCGAGTCATTAACCTGCTCGCGTGCTTTTACTCTTTCTCAACAGGGACAAGTTTCTTTAATAAAGACGGCACTGAAAGGGGCACAGCGGAGAAATCTCTGGTTATAACCCAGTCTTCACCTGCTGCTGCTGCCGCCGTTGCCGTTGGTGATGGGGTCGTTAGCTTCAGCAGAAGAGGCGCAGCACTAATGAAAGCTTTTGTCAAGGGCTTCGCAGTGGAGGCAACAGCAGCAGTTATTGCCATGGTGCTGCTCCTCGAAGCGAAACAAGTTCCCTTAGGAAGCCCGTTCGGGCTGATTGCTCTCAGCGCGTCAATCTATCTTTCTTTTTTTTGCAAAACTTTACTCTGCTAAACACTCTCAATAGCGCAGTCGGTTAGTCCTGTGGGCTGTCGGAGCAACAAGGAAAATGGCATAGAGACGATATAGGAAAGTCACCGAAAACGACCACGTTGAAGTGTGCTTTCGGCCCACTAGCGGCTGGCCCATATTTTTATGAGCCGCATTGCATGTCGGCTTCTGCCACCATTACTGTAGTAGATGTCACACGTATACACGTTTTAGTTGTTTGTATTATGTCGTGGCCTATGAAACATCGGCAACTATGGCCAACTAACAGATGTGGTTTAATGCGCATCATATTGACACCAGTATCGATTGCAAAGGAATTTTGTCTCTAGTGGGTGATAATACGGTTTAGTGTATGAATTCTTTGGACATAAAGTCTAGGAGTAAGCAATGCATTTTCCTGCTTTGTAAAAAAGGGCCTAATAGGTAGACGTAAATTTAACTCGGTGATGCTAAGCGGCACTAAAGCTAAAAGCATTAAATCTCTAAATAAGGTAAATCCGATAACGAATAAATGGATATACGCAAGAATATCATTCACTTTTGGTCCCGCTTCTTGAGATTGCTAGCGATAGTCCAATAAAAACCTGAGCACTAGAACGTGGTTGCTGTGTTTAGTTCTACAAATTTTCTGCCCGAAGCTAAATGTATGACACCAGACGACAATCTAACTCTACCTCTCGCCCTATACAAGCGGTAATCAACGAAACCAAACACTTCGTCGGGACAACACAATCCTTCAAGGCACTTTTGTCATCTTAACTGTTAAGATGCGCGTATCGGTCGGGAAATTTCACCTTCCTGAGCTACATATCATGCACAACAGATCAAAAAGTCAAATATTATAAATGACTAACCTAGAAAAGTAAGAAAAATATATTCGCAGTGCACAATGAAACTTGCAGGATTTACCGGACTTCGTCGCGCTATCTAATAGCGGATCCACGCTCACGGAAACCTTTTCCCGTCGAGATCGTACGTCACGACTTCTCGTTGGCGTGTTCGCGTGAGTTGCAAACGATGATATCGAATAGCTGCAAAAAGGATCCGCATCAACGACGCGCGTCTTTTCGACATACCGCGTCCACACTAAGAGATAAGAGCAGTAGCGATATTTTAAACATTACCTCTGAAGGTGTCGTAGAGTTCGTTCCCTCCGCTAAAACGGTCACAGACCCGAGTGTGATATTGAGGATGGGTCATTTCTCGCTGTTTAGATCTCGCTGCCATTTAAAGATCGACACCCAATGTAATCTGGCCCGACAAAGGGTTCGTCCAATAAAGATTATTTTCCACCTATCAATACTCACTAAGTAGAATAGAAACGAATTCAAGATAATTCTGTCAGTTTTTCTTTATTGTCCAAAGGTCATGATTCGACGACGGTTTCATTAACGTCGATGGCTTCTACTCCTAAACCTAACGCTAATACGTTTATATAGAGACTGATGCTTAGCATATTGTTACACGAATTTCGATGATTTCCACATAGTGTTTGTACGCAGTTGTAAAACACCACTTCCTTCTCAGTATCGCTGCCGCTCTTCGCTCTTTTGATTTCTTTGTGGAGTTCCATGTTGCTCCAAGTCCCACTGGTTATCCAAAAACAACCAAAAGTAATAAAATAATTCGAAGCTGTGTTATCTGTTATTACCTTTTACTTTCTTGCCTTAGACAAGAGAGTGAGATAATTCGGAAAAGCATGACGTTGCATTT